TATTTATGTTCCCTAAATCAGTGTTTCCCAAACGCCTTACCGCAGACCGGTACTGGGCCTTGAATTAATTTATACCGGTCCGCAACGCGTCTTGGCTGTTATGTTTTGTTTGCGAAGTAAGTTGTTATTTTGTAAATATCGTATTATTTTACCTCATGTAATTACCAGATATTTTATTTGGAGTGAAGGTCCCCGAAATATTTTTGAGAATTTTACCGGTCCGTGATTGCCAAAAGTCTAAGAACCACTGTCCTAGGTTACATAATAAGCTTCTAACTCTTGGCAAACATACACGCACAAATTTGGAGCCTTATAGCTTGCTAATACCTGGTCAAACAAGAAAAGTCACGTGCCAAGTTTGGGAACATAGTCTTTTTCTTTAGCTATTAGTTATCTAATTAATATGCTGATAGACTAGTAAACGGGCGTGTAGTATTTAACTACTTTCTCAGTTCATGACTTGGATAAACGACAAAGTATCACATACAGAACTCGAGTTAATCACTTAACTTTACAAGTCGAATTACACGCTGAATTTCGCAAATACGGTTGTGTAACACGTAAGATATTTATCTGGTAATACGACTCTCAGTTCTTCACCTTTATGTAACGAGAAAAATGTCAGTTCAAATTAGGATGTGTGACAAGCGTATCAGTTCTTAGTGTGTTCTTAAGTTTCAAACAGTAAATTGGTAACAACCTTGCCGAAGTTCGTCTATTATCCAAGTCTTTTCGTTTTAACAATAATACCTGTACCTTATTTATCCCATTTCAACAACATCTTATACGTTACACACAGTAGAAGTAACACATTTAGGTTGATTCCCTCCACCCCGACCTATCAGAATGAGTCGTCCATTTATATCAAACGCTAATAACAAAGGCCTGCGATTGTTTTATTGTCTTGAAAATTTCCACATGTTCTACAGTAATTCCTATACTTTGAACCAGAAAACGATATCCATTTTTCTGCATCACGCACAGATTTTTCACAAAATGTCATAACGCAATACATAAAAGAAAGACCACAACACGTACTTTTGGGCCTAAAAAACGTAGATTTCACAAAAAAAATCAGGATGAATGAGGTTACATATTCGTTTGACATCAATGTTCTTCCATTTTCTTCAGTTTGTTTGTATTTTAGTTAACAAACATAATAATAATAAAATGTTCATTGTGGTAAACGAAATAATAGTTTGATCTAAAGTTTTTTCTTCTTCCCGATTTGTAAAAAAAATCCTTAAGCGACAGAAAACAAAAATGGATGTTACTTTCGAAATTTGCGTAGCTGAAGTATGGAAAGTCTGTTATTAAAAGCAAAACAACTTATGTAGTTTAAATTCGTAGGCCTGTGTTATTTAGAAATTGTCATAATTGTCAAAAATTGTCGCTCACACTTGGACTTACACATCCTAAGGTATACAACTGTTAACTGACGCTTGGACTTACACATCCTAAGTTATACAACGGTTAACTGACGCTTGGACTTACACATCCTAAGTTATACAACGGTTAACTGACGCTTGGACTAACACATCCTATGGTATACAACTGTTAACTGACGCTTGGACTTACACATCCTATGGTATACAACTGTCTATCTTCTGTATTTATAGAACAGGGGCGAAACCACAAATATTAATGACTCTTGCCACGAGTAGAAGACACCTGTAAAGGATAACCGGATCCATTTAGTAGGCTGAAATGATTTCTACTTATCATATTTCCATTCGCAATATATTTCTTTCTTTCCTCGTTAACTAAAGTACAGAAGAAGCAGCATGCACTCAATGGTTAATATTGTCAAGGAAAACTGTAAAAACTCGTGACTGCCTCCCCCCCAAAGAACATTAGAAGAATCTGACATTAAAAGTACCAGTTTTACGTTTGTACGTTGCATCTAGATGGATACGCTGAACAGGTTATTTATTCCTAGTTGTCACCTTAGATGGTCCGAGACTCTGAGTATATGCAACATCTTTCCGATAATTCTTAGTGAATTCAATCCCGCTTTGAGAAGGACAAACAATAGTTTAACTAATCACAAACTAGATTTGGAGATACTAATGACTAGATGAGCACTTCACTTTCATTAAAAGATTCTGTTAACGTTAGGAGCTAACCATATTGAATTTTAGTTGACTTTGCGTGCAAAATACGCTTTATTTTCATCCAATATAAAAGCAATATCCATTTGCACCTGCTACCTGATGTCATTTTCGATTTATCGACTTAGATAGCAAAGCCTGTTTCTCAAGCGTGTACAAATATACACAATGGACAGAATAATACAGGTGGGGGGGGGGGGTATGTGAAGATGATATTATATATATATATATATATACACACACACACACAAC